CTCTCAGCTCTTAGGAATTTACCAGATTGAAGTAAATTATAATCAGCTCACAGATATAAGAAATACCAAAAAGCTTAACTACAGAATTTACATTTAAGAGCCGCACAGACGCGAAAGGATCCCACAGTGCACATCACGCCTGCAGTGGGGGCACTCCGAAACGGGTGCCACCGTTCTGCACGCTGCAGTCAGAACACATCTTAATGCAAAGCAGATGCGCGTTCCTCGGAACCGAATTGCGAGGGCAAACACCCCGCAAATTTCAAAGGCTGCACCGCGTACTTAAACGCAGCAGAATCTCCACAGAAACTGCTTCTAAAAACGCAAGAAGCTAGAGACCTTTTCGCCGCAACTGCCGAGCCCCGCGGAGCTCAAATCCAAAACAAGAGAATTCCCGTATTTCCAGACCACCGTTACGTTCCCCTGGAAGATGCAACACACCCTACAGTGCGCACGCCCTACAGCGCGCCACCGAGAACGCACCCGTTGCCATCTATCGCCGCCCGAAGATTTTTTTTTTTCACTTTCGTAATTTTTCGATTTCCTAATTAAAGGACGGTAATATTATTTCAAGAATATTAAGGATCAGTAAATTTGCGAAATTTGAACCTTTTTCCACAGAAAACTATTGACCTTTTGAAAAACTTCCTATGAATTAATTCCAAGCACTTTCAGTCTCAAATGCAATAGGGTTTACAGTTCGCTATAAATATGCATATTAAAGGCGTGAGATATATTTTTAAAACACTACCTTTGTGTAATTTTTAAAAAAAATGAATGAATACAACAAAATCTATATCATCTTTAATAGTGAAATTAAAATAATATGTTGGAAAAGTTTTGAGCTACTTTTCACAGGTAACTGTTGGGTTTTCGGGAAATTATATGTCACATTTGTTAAAGCACATGTACTCATTAATGTGCACAATTTGCCAATAACGTGTTGCTAAATTAACGACTGAGAAATAATACATTCTTGTAATTTTTGAAAAAAAAACAACAAAATAATAGAGCAATAATGCGTTTATGTCATCTTATAGAGTGCATTTAGTACTTTTCCCACCAAAAGTTTAAAGAAAAAAATTCGAGCCATTTTTGAGAAAATCTTGTCTTTGTAATTTTTTTAAATTGCAAATATTGCACCCAATATTGCTAGAAAACTACTGGAAGTTTTTAGAAAATGTACTTGACCTTAATAAAGGACCTAATTATGGACCAGAAATTTAATTTGAAGGAAAAATCTCTTCAAATTGTAGTTATAGGAAGACGCGGAAAACTTCAAACATTTGCAATAACCGTGAAAATCGGACCTACGGCACCTCGAGAAGCGTATTTTACTCTAATCTGACAAGAAATTTAATGAAAAAAATTGTATTCGTTTTTGTGAAAAAGTTTGAAAAAGACCCAGGGGCATCATGTAACGTACTTCCAAATTTTAAGGAATGTTTTTTTTTAAATCTCAAACCTTCGACTCAAGCTAGATGGACAGGGGTTTCTTCTATTTGTAAAAACTCCCACGTATGGTTTATTAGTGTCCACAGATGGAAGGACAAATGGACGGATGTTTTGAAAAAAAAATACACTTTTCGGTTACAGGGAACCCGAAAACGTGTATTTTCAAAATATCGAAATCGATTTTCCGCATTATTACATAACTTTCCCTACACTACAAATAGCCCGGGTATACGTATGTATACAGGAAAGTAAAAACATAAACGTAATGGTCATTTTGCGTATTCATCCATCACGAAATGTAGAAGGTAGTACACAGTGGGACCCAGTACACGGTGGTCCACGATTTACATTTCGCACGTAAAAACCTACTCAAACCTCTTCCATGCAATGCAGCCAACAAACCTGCACCACTGAATCCAGTATGGTCGTTAGTGTTTAAGGTGGAGACGTGTTATGCTACTGCTGGTTTTGTTTGATGTCAAAAGTTACTTTTGTTACAGTTTCTAAATAAAATGAAAAAGATGAGTCAACAAATGTTTTTTAATTTATAATTAGGCCGAAAGTAACTATTTAGGTATAAAAACCAATTTTTACCTGTGGTTTAAAATGGTTATATTTCTTGTGGTGGATGAATACTTAATAATATGTGCAAAGTACACAGTGGAAAAAGCAAAGGTACACAGAGGACAGACCTACATGTACTGCTGTATTTGTAATGGACTTATGTCACATTAAATGTTTCATTAAGTGTCCTGTGAGAAAACCATGCATGAAATTATCAATGTTTTAGATGCCACAAAAGTTGAAAGAACGAAAAATAGTCAAATTTACAGAAGAGGACATGGAATTGGCAGTAGCTTTTGTATTAAATGGATCTCTTAGATGAGCAACACAGCGTGTTGGTGTTTCAAAATCGACCCTTCAGCGTTATGTTACAAAAAAGAAGTAGGCTGAAGGCGAAGAAGCTGACAAGTGTACCACTGTATACAACCTGCGGTACACAGCGGGGCACTTGTGACATTTTTCTGAAAATACATTGAATTTACAAACTGATAGGTATCTAAACTTTTTGCACGGTGTCTAAAATATGCTATATACTTTAAATTAAAATCAGACAGCATTTATTAAAATTGAACCCGAAAAAATTACAAACTTTTTCGTCCCACTGTGTACTACCTTCCCCTACTACACATGTTAAAGATTTCAAATTCATGATAAAAAGCTAAGAAATAAACATGCGACACTACGAATTCAATACATCAAATTAATTACAAACATTTCGAATCAGAATCTGAATTTTTTGTGTAGATTCTGCAGCTCGACTGTCAGTCTGCTTATCTTTCCTCATCAATATGTTACTCTTACGCCATGTTAGTAAGAGCAGACGGACTGAAACTGAGAATCACCTAAGCAACCGATCACATATACAACCGATTCTTTAAAAAACAATAAAAAAATACTTCATGATGTTACAACAGCACATCCTTTTATTTATAAAGGCTATGTCTTATAATAATTACTACATAATTAATTGAAAAAGTGTTTTCTACCAGCCAAAATCATGCCATGGCTGAGATTCGAACTTTAGCGAATTCCGACCAGTCATCTTACTATCATCTTACTAACACCGTCATGGTGGTATTATGCCATTCCCGTATCACAAAGGTCAAAAGGAAACACGTATTAAAAATAAACTTCAACTTTTGCAATTTTGAGGTATCACATTTTTGAATAAAAGTAGTCTTGCTACATAATGATAAAGACTTCTTCGTACTAGTTGGCTTTCTTACCTTTTAAGTAAGGACTTGCTTTTCGAGGCTAGCTTTTGGCCCCACCATTTTCTCAGTTGGCGCCTAAAAGACGTTTTTCACAATTTCTCAATTTTTCGGATCTCTAATAGTACAATTCAAACATGACTAAGAATATCATAGAAGGGTAAAACTTAGTTCTATAAGTACATTTTCTTTCAACATTTTAGAGCCGTTTTAAGAAAACGTGGGAGCATTTTTGAAAATGCGCATAGTAAAGCTCATTTTTTACCGAAACTTTATAAGAAAATTATTTGAAGCAATTGGATTTATACATGCGATAATGAATAAGAAATGTTCATGAAAATATTGCGGTCATCATTTTCTTCGCTAACTCGCGCCTCCGCGTTAACTATGCAAACGACGTTTACTCTAAGGAGCACAGTTTTCTTCTCTGTAGTTTTACACCATGACAGCGTAACCCCAGCCGCAAGAAGCAGGGAATAGCTACATAGCTACATCAACAGTATATATATATATAATATATATATATATTATATATATATATATAATATATATTAATATAATATATAACGGACCCTCTATTTGCCCTGATCAATCTCATATCGCCAGGTTAGTATAGAGCCATATCCCAGATTACACAATACTTTACGCGGCTTTCAAGCACAACTCCCGCCATGACGAATGCTGAAACATTTACTGCAATTTTTTAATTTAAGGGCGCTCAACGTTTAGAGCATTAGCGATTTCTATTGCATTTACGGTATGTTAACTAAGAAGCATGACATGATATGGAGATGATAGGAGCTGAAAGGACGAACACAAATACAACCACACCCGAGGCGGGGCTCGAACCTGCGATTCTTCGGCCCGTGATCGCTACGTCACTACTGCCTTAACAATCTCGACCATCCAGACCGGCGTTGCAATTTTTGTTTCAACATTTACTTCCACTGTCATCAAAGCCGCTAGCAGCGCGCTGCCAGCCCCAATTCGTATTAGCTTGCGCCTGGGATTATCTAACATCCAGAACCGTCGTGCACTGGTTTGCCGCTCTGGTGCAAGTACATTTTGCGCCTTCAAAAGGAATCTTTCAATTTTATACTCTTAACAGTAGAAAAGTTTAATTGTTTAAAATAATTTTTACTAAAGTTTTATTCTAGATTTATTACATAATAAGTAATATCCGTATACAATATAAAATAAGCCACGTTTCGAACTTTCAAACTTACAAAGTTTTTTTATGATACTCTCTAAATAAAAATTGTTGTAGATTTCACTTTCATTTGAAATCATTACCACAGCTGTTAATATTTCTTGTAACATCGTTGGAGGAAGTTTATAGACTAATAATTTTTAATTTTTAAAATGTTCATTCTCGTGTGACTACTGTATCTGGAAAAGTTAATAAAATTTGTAATATCACGGTAGTATTAAGGAATGGGCCGGTTAGTTTATTTTTATATATGAATTCTAGTACATCAACTCGTGATGATTTTGATTTGACAAATTTCGTAATCGTGGGAAAACGACTTCACAGCATGGATCATTGTATTAGACGTCGAGGCATTCAATCTACGCGTCGCGTCGTGCAACGTCAGGCTTCTCCCCTCCTCGCAAAGTTTCCCACCCGCACTTCCTGCACTTTCGGCGCTCTCGCGAGCAGGCGGTTGGCTCATAAGATCAAAATGCCCAGGAGAGCAGGCGTTGTGCAGGCCTGGCTTATCGCGGTTGGGTGATGGAATAAGAAAGAGACGCCAACTCCTATTTACTTACCGTCCACCCAGCGCCAGGTGCGTGAGGTGAAGCCTGGATCCCGCGTTGCACCAATCCACACGAGTTGCGTCTTGAGATGCATTTTCCTCCGCTCCAACTCAGCCACGAGGAAGGCAGCGGCGGCGTCGCCGCTCGCCAGGCCGTGCACCAGATCTCCCCCGTGGCGCTGGCAATGGGCTCGCGCTTCCGCGTACGATCCACCGCGGCCGCCCGGGAACTCGTAACAGGTGCGTGAGAAAGCGGAGATCTGAGCGTCTTCGCTTGTGCCCGACGGCGCACACCTTGCGTTGGAAAATTCTGCAACATATATCGTAGTTAATGAACCACACGTCAAGTGGAAGGGTTTCACTTTTGTGGGGAGTGGTTGGATATATCTTAATTTTGTTAGAAGACGTTTCGGAAATAAACATCGTGTCGAAAATGTTTTGGGAAGGAAATGATGTTAAATTTTGTGAGTTTAGTCCCTTCGGGAGTTCAGCCGCAATTCTAGAAAAGCGTTGACTGAAATTTTTTTCCGGATTACTCGCTTCCCTTTCATTATCCTTTAAAACTACATTCTCTACTAAGTACCGAGATGATGTTTTTTACAGTATTTCACATTGCTTTCGTTTTGTTTTTGGCGTTCAAAATATCCTGATTGTTTTTCATTATTTTTGCCTGAACTATTACATTTCTTAAAATTCTTTTGTATTCTCGGAGGTAGACATGGAAACCGGGTGACACGTTGTGACGTTTAGAAATGAGGTGAAGCGTACGTTTGTTTTTATACGATGTTCTTATTCCTTGTGTGATCCAAGTATTATTTTTACGTGAAATGTTTAATTTTCTCGTTTTGAGAGGAAGGAATGCGTTAAAGCGAAATGAAAGCTTTGATAAAAATATATTTTTTCATTTGTGTCAACAGCGTTATAAACTGTGTCCCATGATTCCTTCAGCAAGTAGTCCGTAAATAATTTTATGTTAACTTTAGTGAATGCTCTGCACACGCGTGTATTATTTATTGTGTCAGTGTTCATGTTATTAGTAATTGTACGAATTTCTGCATCGTGGTCACTGCAATCTAGATTAGTAGTTTTTATTCCATATCTAGTTGTGGTTTTGTTAATTATAATTTGACCTATTGCTTTTTGTGATGTAAATGTATTCCGTGTAGGTACATTCACTGTAATGTCTAAATTAAAATAATGAAGTAAATTGAGAAACAACTATTATTCGCACAGAAAATCAATATTGAAATATCCACATATGACAATGGATTTAAATGATAGACTACTAATTTTGTTCAGAGTTATCTCTAGATTTTCCAAGAAAATGAAATTATCTAAAGCTTGCTTTGTTGGAGGTCTGCAGATGCACAGTAAGATAATTTTGAGCGTAGTAAGATGTACGAATTTTCAAAAACTTTTTGAACTGCATATAAATTGAATTCTGACAAGAAGATAGAATCAATATCATTTCTTACGTAAATACAGGAACATCCACAAGCAGGGCCTTATTTGATTCTCTCACTCTATAATACGATCCTGTAAGGTAAAAACTAGGAACTTGGAGTGTGTTTAGATCATTATGAGACAACCAATGTGATATAAACCAAAAAATCTATTTGACCTTGATCACACTGCCACACTGTAATGCTGCCTCGATAAATTTAAATTTTATTTGAAAGAGATTGCACATTGTGATGCATTATTAGAATGTTTCGCAAGAACGTATATGACCTTGATCACACTGTAATGCTGCCTCGATAAATTCAATTTTATCTGAAAGAGATTGCACATTGTTTGCACGCATTATTTGAGTTTTTGCATGTGCCTACACGGACGTTTCTCTGCTGCATTTAACTGTAGTTGCTATTTATTTACTTAATTTTTACCTCGAGTGCGTGGTCAATGGAAGTATCGTGACCCAGCAGTGACAGGAGGTGAGGAAGGAGGGGCAACACATGTAAATAAATGAATAATGGGAGAGGTAGTACAAGGATTAGGTTCAAGGGATAAGGTAATTGGGTCCAAAGAGGTACCGGAGGATGGAAGAGAACTAGGAGATGTGGGTGGGGATGGGTGTTGGGCAGGGCACCGAAGAGGTTGTGTTTCAGAATCATTTCCGAATTCATTCATCAGAATTTTCAGAATCAATTGACATTTACTCATTTTGTTTCTTTTTAGATGATGTCATAGTTTGGCGTATTTCTCCGTTTCACTCTCCTAGTTTCCTCCCCTTGTTTCCTGATTTCTCTCATTGTACAGTAGAAAAAGGATTGAATTCCACATAGGCAACCATGCATAGCAAATTCGACGCGCAGCATATTATATAAGTTTAAAAAAATACTTTGATACAACGTAGAGATAAAATAAATACATCATTGAAAAAGTGAAATATTGGAGATTTATAATTCACTAAAAAGTGAAAATCGATATTTTTAATTGTTCGCTTTCCAGGTCTCCTTAAAGCAGGGAGGATGTCGATGAAACAAACAAAAATAACCAAATATCATGTCCAATCACTTTCTACTTTGACTTAACATTCAAACATTGAGTTGTTAATAATAAATTTTGCTTGTTGTTACTCAGTTCTACTGTAATTGCCAGATTTTTTCTTTCCTTTTTAAACAGTTCTTTGATAACCAGGAACATAACAAATCTTTGCACATTAAAATATAGTCTCAACATTCTCGGATTTAAGATTGGCGATGTTTTTGGGAACCTAACTCTCGGAAATGTTGAGAGACTACTGGGTATTCAATTCCCAAAGTTTCCTCTATAAATATAAAGAAGTCCTCTGGTCCTAGAAGTTCAGTGTAAGCATTCCCGTTCGGAATTCGGCGCAAGTTCAGTTTTTTTAAAAAATTATAATAATATTGTAATTAACATGTAATATGTTATTGTTTGTAACCGTTTTATTAATATGTAATATGTTACATATGTAAGTTTATTGCGTGAACGTAATGTGGGAAACATAATTATATATCATTAGAGTTTGTATAGAAGGAGCTTCAAAAGCTAGGGCTCTTGGAGGAAAATTACTGTAGAGAGTATTTTTCTCATCCAATTTTAATTCTCTTCCGATTAATATTTAAAGAGAGATTGACTTGGGAAACCGCTCTCTCATCAGATGCAACAACTAGCAAACTACCCTTTGAAATCGTCAGAATCCTGTCCTGAACCCAGTATCCTGTCCTGAACCACTGTTGGACATGGAGAAAAAAAGCGAATGGAGTGAGAAAAGTCTACTCACCGTCGGTAGTAAACACTTCCACCTCGCAGACAGAGAGTGAGCCATCCACGCCGACGAGCTGCAAGAACACGAACTGCCCCACAAGAGGTCGCGCGCATGAAAATGTCTTCGTCACTCCTTCTTCTGCAAACATAACACAAAATAAATATATGATTTTCATATTTGTACAGAAAAATGAGATTGACTTGTTCTTCTTGAGAATATTTTGATATTCTGTAGAAATACCTTTTGAAGCAGGTTCATTTAAAAGCGTGCGATAATTTATACAACTGCCCTCAGTGCAAGATTTGGAATAGACATGTCAAGGTCGCGGGCAACCTATCTAGTTTACACTGCTTCGCGAGTACTGCGCCTAGAAAAACTGACGCAGGGTATAAAAGTGAGGGTTGCACAAATTGCTATGGTGTATCCACAGATACCGAGCACTATACGTTCTTTTGGAGAAAACAGTTGGCAGTAATTTAAAGCGTCTAAAGCGGGAGGTGTGTTTAAAGCGGGAGGTCACAGCATTTTGGTGCGGATTTTCAGTACATTTCCAAGATAACCCCATTTCTTGACTTATCGCGAAACATAACTAAAATTATTACACAGGAACAGACACAAAAAAAGTTGCAGACCCGAAGACTTGACACTTGTTACTCTTAGTTTGTCGACACGGTGAATCCCGATCTGAGGCCAGAATTCCGCCACCACCCTCCAGTTTTTTTCAATCGCGAAAACCAACGCGAAATTGTAGATTGGAAATTTGAGGGTACGTTTTTGCGATTTAAAAAAACTGGAGGGTGGTGGCGCAATTCTGGAGTCAGTTTCGAATTCAGCGCGTCGACATACATAGAGAAACATATCTCAACCCGTGTGATGAAGATGACGGAAACGGCACCTCGAACAAAATCGCAGCACCTGATCTGCCGTGAGCGGCTGCAGCGTCTGTCTCCGTATTAGAAGCAGCTGCATCCACAGTGGGAAGTAAGTAGAGAAAGAAGGGTCATGAACCTTTGGGCTTCATGTTATCAGCTCATGGAGGGTACAGGAGAGACACTAGGTTGGCGCACGAGGCCACTGATTAGAGTGGAGGCCCGAAACTTGCATTTGACAGTAAAGGAGGCCGCCTTCAGCAGTCAGTGAAAATGGGGTTTGGTAGTGCTGACTGACGAACGGACGGACACCTTCCTGGGCCCTGCGGGGAGAAGTTTCCAACCCACTGTGGCTCATAATAACGAATGGCAGGAAATAACCTATGGGTCACGTGCTTCCAGGGAAACTCCCATTATAGACAATGAGAAAAATGGGTAGAACAAGAAATGTAATGAATCTTGACGTGTTTTGTTCTACCAACGTCCCATATTTTCTCAGAAACCGGGCAAATGTCACCTTGTCGACGTCTGTCCATTCCACGGATGTTAGTCCCAGGGACCCATAGTTGATAATAGCTCGAAGCCATCATAAGAGATGGATACGGGATGAATTTGACTCTGCAAAAGCAAAAAAAAAAAAATTGGGGCTCGGAAATAATAGATTTCAAGATATGGAAGATCGGAACCCAGATATGAGTCCTACCCTAGATTAAAATTAAAATGCCAGTCAAAGACGATACATACTAAGCAGTAGAAAATTCACAGCAGAACAACTTGCAGATATTCAGGAATACACGGTGTATGTTCTTTGATCGAACAACCCACATGGCAAACATGTACAGCTTGAGAACGATGGTCCTGTTGAAATTTCATCTCTTTCCAATAAAACATCCGTCAGTGATGAAAATTCATCTGGCACTAAAGAAAGTCTTAAGTCTTAAGAAAGTTATATTTTTCATAGGGACTTTCAGAGTCAAAGATTCCCTCAATGGCAGAGAATACAACAAAGGTATGATGAAGTGGCGAAACAAAGTCGACTCCATTCCACTCGACTCGACTCCACTCCACTCCTCTCGACTCCACTCCTCTCCACTCCGACTCCACTTCACTCTCGACTCCTCTCTACTCCAATTCTCTCGACTCCACTCCACTCGACTCCTCTCCATTCCACTCCTCTCGAATCCACTCCACTCCTCTCGACTCCGACTCCACTCTTCTAGACTCCGACCCCACTCCACTCCTCTCGACTCGACTCCACTCCACTCGACTCCTCTCCATTCCACTCCTCTCGACTCCACTCCACTCCTCTCGACTCTACTCCACTCGAATCCACGCCACTCCACTCCAATCGACGCTTCTCCATTCCACTTCTCTCGACTCACACTCCGCTGTACTTGACTCCACTCCCCACGGCTCCAATGCACTCCTCTCCTCTCCACTTCTCTCCACTCCATTCGAGTCCTCTCCATTCCACTCCTCTCGACTCCACTCCCCTCCTCTCGACTCCACTCCACTTCTCTCGACTTCACTCCCCTCCTCTCGACTCCACTCCTCTCCTCTCGACTCCACTCCACTCCTCTCGACTCCACACCACTCCTCTCGACTCTACTCCACTCCTCTCCATTCCTCTCCACTCCACTCCTCTCGACTCCACTCCACCTTTCTCGACGCCACTCCACTCAACTTCGCTCCACTCGACTCCACCCGACTTCAATCGACTCCACTCCCCTCCTCTCGACTCCGCTCCTCTCCTCTCGACTCCACTCCCCTCGACTCCACTCCTCTCCTCTCGACACCACTCCTCTCCTCTCGACTCCACTCCTCTCCACTCCTCTCGACTCCACTCCTCTCCACTCTCGACTCCACTCCTCTCGACTCCACTCCACTTCTCTCGACGCCACTCCACTCGACTCCACTCCACTTCAACTCGCCTCCACCCGACAACAATCGACTCCACTTCACTCGACTCCACTCCACTCCACTCGACTCCACTCAACTTGACACCACTCCTCTCCACTCCACTCCACTCGACGTGACTCCACTCCACTCGACTCCACTTAACTCAACTCTACTCGACTCTATTCGACTCTTCTGGACTCTACTCGACTCTACTCCACTCCATTCGACTCCACTACTTCTACTTCTCTATTGCACTACACTTCGCAACCGTCACTTCAATACAAAGACTACTTTCAATATAATTATATATTTAATAGAGCATTACATTCAATAGTAGTTACTACAATCTGAATATTAACAACAACAATAAAAATAAAATAATAATAATAATGATAATAATAATAATAATAATAATAATAATAATAATAATACAATACGTGTTTTAATAATCCTATCTTACTAATTAATAAAGTTTAGAAATATCATTGGTTAGATTACTTTTAAATTTATCAACACCTAGAGGAAAGGGTTCCAATGCTGTCGCAGGCATCTTATTCCACTCCATTTTTTTTTAATTCTAAATGAACATTTGCTTAAATCTTTTTTCTGAGTCCTGAACTGAATTTTGTGCTTGTGATTCCGTCTAGTAAAGTATGTGGGTCTACTAAGTAGGATGTAGATATCATTCCAAGCTGGATAACCAGCATACGCATTGTACACGATACAGAGTCTTGCCTTAACCCTCCTGATTTCTAGATTCTCCCATTCTACTTTCTTCCTATTGCTCCGGAAAATGAGTTTACACGCTCTTCTCTGTACTCTATTCAAATATTCCTTTTGTGATTTTCTATAAGGGTTCCAACAAACCGCTCCGCATTCCATTAATGGAGAAACCAGAAACAAGTAAGCTAATTCTCTTGCTTTAGCATTACTCTTTTTTAGTATCCGCATAGCAAAATGCAAAGACCTCCTGTCTTTCCCTGTGACAAGCTTTACTTGATTTTTCCAACTCAATTTGATACCACAAATTATTCCCGGAAAAGACAAGACTCTTGGAATATTTTCATTGATTAAACGGTAGTGACTTTCATTGTATTTTCGGCCACTACCAAACGTGACGGTTTTGCTTTCGAACAATTTATTGTCATTCTATTTTTTTCGGCCCAGAAATGTAGTTTATCTAGATCACCCTGCAAAATATTCTCGTCTACTTTTCAATGAATGAATATCGGTATATTATACAATCATCTGAGAATAGTCGTACTTTTGAAAATAAATTCTCTGGCAGGTCATTCACAAACGCGAGAAATAGGAGAGGTCCACTAACGCTTCCTTGAGGGATCCCTGAAGTTACCGTTGCTAGAGTCAAAAACGGGTTGCCTCTTCGATGAGTTGGTTCCGACGTGCACGAGGACTACTTCTACACTATAATCATTTTTAATGTTTTCAATAATTTTGGCCATATCGTTTACATCAGCTCCGGGAAAAAGTGCCACATCAGCACCTTTAGCACGACACACTCCTCATCTGTAGCATGGAGTTACCAAACACCACTTCCCCTTCGAACGCGCGTTAGGTTGGATTTCGTGATGAGGTTTTCGCTTCAGCAGGGCTTGCGTCAACCTGGGTTTACTGTGCAGTTTCCTGCCGTTCCCTGCTGCCGTGTGTCTGCTGCAGAATTTGCAGGTTAACTCGCCAATTGATTTGTGAGCCCCCTCCAGTTGAACCTCCAGTCCCCGAAGCCTCCGAAAGTCTGAGTTGAACATTTCAAAAGAGCAATTTTGGAAGTAGTTGCAAATTGATTGCTACTTAATTGTTGCTAAGTGCTAATTATTCACTGGTCTATTGACACCAATATTCGACCGAAATATCCGCTTAGAAATATTTTTCCGTCATGGGGTACGCGCAGACGAAATCTCTCCGAGACGACGATATTTTCGCCTCACGTCAACAACCGATGCTCCGCCACCATGACCAGCCTCTTTCTCGCCCCATGGGCTTCTGCGGAAATCACTCAGGCAATAAGGTTCTGACTGTACAGATTGGTCAATGCGCGCCTCCCGGGATCGAAGGGTCTCCAAGTTTTTTTTCCTCGGTTGGGAAGAAGGAACTTCATCCGCAAGTTTTTGCTAGGGGACTGTACATCAGTGAACCTCTGACAATGAAAGCAGAATTCAAGACTTCGGAAAACGAATATGAAAAATTCCAGACTTGACTTTTCTAGAACGCCGTGTGAGTGGTCACCTTTCCCTGGAGGCCAAAAATTTCCTTGAGTTTCATCAAAGTGTAAAGCATTTTCAAGTAGATATTCCCACAAAATCGTTGTTTCGTTCGCGGAATACTGCCTAAAACTTTTCAATTTTTGAAAGTTTATGTTGCTAGTTTGATCGCGTAGTTTTGGTAGTGTATGCGTTTTAATAGTGTGGAACTAAGTCTGATAGTAAATACACTTTTAGCAATATTAGAAGGTTTACTTACGCACACTGTCTGGATGTATGATTTAATGCACAGTTCAAATCTTGGGCGTTCTAATCTATTTTCACTTAGTACTCTGTACAGGTATACTACTTTAAATATATACATATATTCCAGATTTCGTGCAACTAGAATAGTAGATCACTTAGCACTAGCTGCTGTAATGTTTGCGTTTGTAAACGACAAAATTTCAATGCGTTTGGAATATATTTAAGATTGCATTTTTATTTAATTCATTACGAAAAATTATATACTAAGTATCTCTTTCAGTGTGTTCTTCATTCATTTGTAATTGTCAGGATACCAACAAAATAATACAAGACTAATATATCAATTAAATTGGAGTCCAATCTATTCCATTTCAGATATGAAACATATTCAGAACATTTGGCATCCCTCAAAACATAATACTGCATGCGTAACACACAAATATGAGTTATAACTCTCCATTACACCAGTTCAAAACATTTTTAGTCAAGCTAAGTACCGATATAATCACGAAAAGAATAGCTTAAAGACAATACATACCTATAGTACCAGGAAACCATGCACAAAGGGGATTCCTCTGTAGATCGGTGCTGCTGTTGCCCACTCGTATTTCGATATCTTTGAGTGGCTGGTGACCTGTGGACACAAAATTATTATTTAAAGATGATTCACAATAAGCTTTCAAATAATTGTTATACTTGATATAAAAACTATTTTTTCATCAAAAATTGATCAAAGTAATAAAAAATCGATCGTGTTCATCGCAGCGGGTAAGTTCAGCATAGGAGCGAAGTGCAGTAAGGAGTAGATCTATTATTCGTTCATGCTAAGAAAAATCCGGATGTAAACAAATGCAGGTGTGTTAGGATGTTTCTCATTGGTTTGCAATGTGATCTCTGCTGTTGTAGGGATCCTGACGCTAAAGTAAATAGTTCTCTGTACAAGAACTAATTTATCTGCCATAGTTCGTGAAATTAACATTGCGTCAAAACTATTGCAATGGTTTCGAGAAGGAGACAACTACGTTTTGTTATAGATTACGAGCAGCGGACTGTTCAGCCATGAACGAGGCGCGTGGGACGCGGCTCGTGGGACCGCTGCTCCGCACTGCCATCGACCTGCGAGGCCCTGCTGTTCAGTTCGTTTTAAAAAGCCTGAGAGTGTAGCTGGCCCTATAATGAAAAAGTGTGGAAAATGTCTTCGGAGTAGCGAAAAGCGGAGCCCAGGATCTCAACAACAGCAGGGCTCACACTGCAAAGTAATGGGAATCAACACAACACACGTGCATTTGTTTACATCAGAATGTTTCTTAGGGTGAACGGATAATAGTAATAGGAGAGGCATTAGAGATTTGTACGAAGAGCACTCCGCAAGTTTACGGAATGGAAAGTAAGGAATTTCGCGTCCTCCAAGTTATGTGGATCAGATCGGTCGACTCATTTAATGGAAGCTGGTTTCTCATTGTTGACTCATTTAATGCAGGCAATAATTTTCAATTCATTATTGCATAGAAATGTCTCATTACCAGTGAAGCAAATCGCAGAGTTCACCGGAATATCCGTATCCAGCGTGTTGAAACTCTGGAAATAGCTCTCTGAAAAGGAACAAGTACAAATGCTAGAGAAGAAAAGAAAGGGAAAGAAACCTGTGATTGGAGCATACGATGACTTTGTAGGCAGTGATGCTCGATTGAAAGTGTTTTTGCTTGCATCAAAAGGGCAAATGTGCCGAAAAGAAATAGCAACTCTTACGAAATTGTGATTAAGAACTTCTGAATTTTAGGCCAACCAATTTATACCATTAATTGATATCTGGTTATTGACAACCAGATGCATCCTAAAGCAGACTGATCGTAAGTAAAGTAGTCGCGTGAAAAGGACTTTTGCATGACAGTTATCATTCCATTTGAGTTGGCGGGGTAAGCTAGCGCGTCGCCGAAAGTAGTGCACTAGATGGTGTCAAATCTGAAGCGTAGTGCGGCGCAACTATTTCTTCTGTTTGTTTAGATCAGGTTTTTTCTTCGGGTGAACAGATAATAGGAACTATAATGTCAATCCTGTTACATGGACGTCCTTACACAGTTTTTAAACAATTGCAAACATGTTATTAATTGTGCATACTGTTCTGAAAACCATTATTGTGGAAACCCGTTTCCACAACTGCCTCAAACCCAGCCCATTCAAAACTTCACCCATATCTCATCCTTGAACAATCCATCTCCTCGCAATTCGCAAAACGCCCATCATTCCAATCAAACGCTCCACTCTAATGAGACTCACTCTAACAACCCAATAATCACCACAATAAAAACACCATCACCTTCTGCATCATTAACTTCATCAACTCACTTATCCCATCTACATTCAATACTATTCAAAATTCTGTAACCGAATACTTAAGCAAAAATAATGGCAGATAAAATATTTTCATCCTAAACTGGAACACATACTCAATCACAAACAAACAAAAAACTGAACTCATCCATTTTCTCCACCACTACAACGTAGACATAGCTTGTATTACCGAAACGCACTTCAACAATAAAAACAAGCTATTTATATCCAACTTTCAAATATATAGATCAGATAGAACTGATTCGAAAAGTGGGAGCGTGAACATATGTCAAAGAAGAATAAATTTATTGCTTTTTTCATAACAAACGTCCGATTCAAAAAATAAATTTTATTTTCTTGAATATATGAGTAGTATTAGCGTGAATCTGAATTAAATTTTGGAAATTTTGAACAAGGGTTTTCAAAAACGGCAACGAATTTTACTCCATAAATGATATTTTAAGATGGAGCTGAATTAACTTGAGGCAGTCCGAATTTCAAACGGAGAAGTCAATATTTTTGGGTACTTTACATGAAGCCTCTACATTTTTTTATATTTTCTCAAAAATGATTCACATTGTTTTCCTTTTAATAGATTGGGGTACCTCTGCGTGATGTTTGAGAATCAGGAGAAATAATTCCACTGATATGTGTTATCAGTGTAGCTATATTTTTCCCATATGAATCAATAATTCCCTTATAAATCTGTACATGTCAAGCAGGGAAACCGCGGCAAAACCCAAAATGCAGACCCATCTGAAAATAAAATGGAAATAATACAAGAAAGTCTGTGCTATTCTGTAGCACCACTAATTTTAATTGTCCTGGCCAGTAGCCTAACAATTGCATTAGACGCGTTTGTCTTATGAAGAAAATTGTTGCCAGGTTGTTGGAATAATATAGTTGCATCAAATGGTCATGTTGAAAATGGATTGTCACGAAGTGCAAATATTTAAACCCAGAGGGATACGAAACTGGGACCTTCTGTTTCATACTCACCTTCCATCCCGTTTGTACCTATACGCAATAGCCTCTGATCGGCATATAGAAAGTCTCAGGTTCGTATCCCGGTGGGTTCAAATATTTGCACTTCGTGCAAATCCATTTTTTCCAATACCTCAATTTTTAAGAAAAAATTGTGGAACTTTTTCTTAAATGTTCCCCGTCATTTTATACATTTTACAGCAAAGAGAAATGTATTTTTCTTGTTTTATGATATTTACTTCGAATTTTTGGGTGGCCCGTTCCCCTTAATCTGGCCCTGTTATTTACACAAGTCCAGAAATTTGTAAATGATCGTACATACAATTTCAGGTAATATTTTCAATGTAATTTATCATTCAATAATTCCCGATCGTCTTTCTACAACTGTTAAATTGAGGGTTTTAGGCAATTATATTCGAATGTGAGCATATTTGCTTAATCTACGCATTATCGGAATGAAATCGCGTTACATTCCCTCTTTCTCCAGAAAAGGAAGTGCATGCAAACAGACTTTTCGCTAAGAAAAATAAAGATCGCTAGCGGACGTCCTAAGTATCACCACGAATTTTTAAATATTTATTCTTTATAAATTCAGTAAAATGGCATGTTTTTTCATTTTTACGTTAACGGACAGAAAACCACATGGGAACTTCATTTGCAAAGTGAAATATTGTTGCAAAATATTAATGGAGGTAAAGGTGGTAATATGAGACTGTATAAAATATTAGACCTCTTAGTATCTGTTCTTATATCGCAAAAATTCAAGCAGGAACGATTTAACTACTAGCTACTTCCTCGCCTTACGAAGTAACTTCATAAGAAGAGAAAGTTACGTAATGGTGCGCCGGAAAACGGCTAATTTTCACCACAAAACTCTTACTGCAGGGCTCTGGTAACGCATATGCCTAAAAATTCTGTTTCTAAATTTAGAAAAATCCTTTAACACGGGGTGTAGCCAGAATTAATGTTTTGTTGGTTATTGATACCAGAAAATCTCAGTCCAAACGTCTGTCTGTCCGTCCGTGTGTCCGTCTGTGGTCAACGCTGGCGCCTAAACCGTTCAGCCGATTTTCACCAAAATTGATATTCGCCGATCAATCTACACGAACCCGAGGCTTTGGGAGTTCAAACGAATATTTTGAATTTTGAGTGTACTTTACATGGAACCTCAAAAACATTTTCAAAGTTTTCTCAAAAACTGCACCAAATTTGTTGATCAAACTTTGTCTTCGGATAGCGTAAAGAACGCTTAAGAGAATGACAGTGGTCTCATCTTCGTTAAAATTACAGATTGTTTGAAAATGCGCAAATTTTTGGGGGGCGTCTTCTTACAACTGTAATTGTTTCGCGAATGGGCCATCATTGGGCCACGCTATACGTGCATCCCACCGGGGCTCAGTTTTAGTTAATCCGGGTATGAGCACGTTACTTTTCTATGGGGGAATCATCATTTCAATGCTGATACCATTTTTATACCCCAGGTTTGTTAGCCCTGGGGAAAGGGATGAAATTATGATGATGAAGAATGATGAATTACACACACACACAAACATACTACAGAGACACACACAACACAACCATGCCCATGAACCCGCAATCTTCTGGTCCGGAACCACCACGATACTACTACCTTAGCGATCTCGACCATCGAATCGGCTTTGAAACTATGATATTAAATATAGAGATTTTTTCTTAAGAAAATCTTTTCCTTAAATCAGTTTCAGGTCAATTTTTCGAAGGTATGAGTGGTTTCCGTGTAATTTTGCGCGAAATAGAAGGAATGTTTTGCTCAAAAAAGAATTTCTTTAATTTTCTCCTGATATGTAATAAGGGACAATAAAAAATAGGGTTTTAGTCCCATATTTAGTCCCGTTTTTCAAAACAGCCAAAAAGTGAACATTTGAAAAGTACAATATTAGAGATAGCGACTTTTGCTTTAAAGACAGTCATGTAGAAAACAGCTCTTTAAAACGATCATGCACAATTTTTGGAGAAAACGAGCTGATTTCGCTTAATTATTGTCTGAGATTTATACAATTTCTAAAAAATTATTTTTTTGTCAATAACCAGTCCAAACTTTTTCTTTAAATATATTCCATCATATATAATAAGAGACGCTAAAAGAAATACGGTGCTAGTCCGATTTTCGATTATTGTTCCTTTTTGCAGAAAATTTCAATTTTCGAAAAAACGAGCCAAATACAATTTTCCGAAACAACGAACTGATTTCGCTTAATTGTCTGAAATTTATGCAATTTCTAAAAAAATTATTTTCTGAAAAGCCAGAACGAAATTTTTTCATTAACGTCTCCTTATATGTAAGAACGTATGGTAAATAAGTAAAGTAGTGGTGTAATAGAATGGCACAAACTTTCTCGGAAATCGTTTTCGAATCTATTTAGTTTGGACTGGCTTTTCGGTTAAGGCTTATTCTCTTCCCAACTGCCTCCTTTTGTCACTAAAAAGCAGCAAACTATTGAGGATTCGATAAACTTTATTGAAAATCATTTGAAGTACTTTTACTCACAACTACAATCAATACAGATAAATAAACGAGACGTATGCTCTTCTAATTTGCCACTTTGAAACATTTTTGCAACTCTATTATTTGATTTTCAAAACGTTTGTCACGTCAAGTCAATTGTTGTCTTTCTGGGAGTCTGTATGAACCGATTTAGGTAAATTAATCAATCTATCAACATGAAATTTAAATAAATAATAAACCCTACCCATGGGACCTACTTAGATACCTACACCGACTCATCGGCAGAGGTGGCTCAGTGTATCACTGACAGGGAGTTCCGGACTGACAGTGCCACTGACCGGGAGGTCCTAGGTTCGAGTCCTGGCGATGGCAGTTTTTTTTACACTAGCCAGATAGCTAAGTCTGTCGCTATGAAGAGGAAAATTCCAGTGGCCTGTTGCTTTGATCGGTAGTTATCTATGGTTTTTTTATCAACACCAGGAAATGTCGGTGCAGTACCCTACCAAATGGACCACGAGCCGCGCGCGATCTTTTGTTCCCATCCCATTTCATAGCCTTCTCTTTACTTTCACACACTTACGTACACCTCACTACCACACATGCCGGGAGACCGCTCAGGAGCTTAGAGCTTGGCGCGGCTGGTACGATGCCTCTTTGGTGGGAGGTACCTGGTTGGAAAAACCCTGCAAGTGTAAGGTTGGCGCCGGATTTAGTCATGCAAGAGTCATATTACGTCCAGCCAAAAAAGCATGTATAACACATATGGGAGTAATGACCTTAACAGTTGACGCACTCAGAATCATTGTCTATCAATCAGTTAATCAATCCACCTAACTGTCAGACCGTCTGTGGGCAACTTCAGCTCCTAAACCGTTCAGTCGATTTTCTCCAATATTGAAATTCCCTGATTGATCTGAACGGACGTTGTGGGTTTTTTATATTATATTTTTAATTTTGATATTATTTTGGAGTAACAAAAGACAGACTTTATAATATGTTCTTCGCAAACATGGATGAACATTGTTTTACAATCTGTAAATCTGTTTCCAATCAAGATATATCTAAATGTATCTGAAATATTAAGGCAGAGTCGTTTTCAAATGACATCCCCTTAAAAAGTAGTGCTTGTTAATACAAGTTTTTAATGAATTAGAATTTAGATCAATCCACAACCATAGTTTCACACTAAAGAATTGTAGCAAATCCCAAACTTACAATTTGTTCCTCAAGATGGAAATTTTTTACCATTATCTTGCACGAAGGTATTGAATTTCCATTCAGATTTTGTTCTGGAATGTATCAAAATATCAAGGCTTTTGACTAAGAATTAATTCTTGGGAGAATAAAGTCTCCGAGAGTGGCAACACCACAGCGCACGAGTGCCTAAGATTTGGTAAAGTTAGTGAAGAATAGAAAGGTTGAAAAATTGTGAAAATCTAGGGAGAGATAGTTCAAATTTATTAAGTTTCTGTGGAGGCCTCGAAACCATTGTCTTGAGTTAGACAGAACAAGCAAAATTATATTATCGATTGGCATATTTGTGTTGACAACTGGATGTACCGTAGCTGTTGTTTCTTTTTTTGAGTTATTTAAGGTCGCATCAACTACTAGGTCATTAGCGACCACAATTGCTTGTAACGGTATGGTAACTGTGGGTTGACACGATAATGATGATGATAGGGGGTGAAAGGACGAAACACAATACAACCATGCCCGAGGCGGGACTCGAACGCGCGAGCCTTCGGTCCGAGTTCGCTACGGCACTACTGCCTTAGCGATCTCGGCCACCGGATCGACATGTACGGTTTTATTGATAATATTACGAGATGTTTGGCAGATGCATGATTTATTAGATCAGTTCATCATTTTACCTGTAATAACAAAAAATACACAGGAAAAACGTCCTAATAAACAATTACGACTTCTTTCGGAATAGAATTGTTCGGAAGATTTTTGGTGGTAATTATTTAAATTAATAGCACATACTCTAGTCCAAGGATAAAGATTGATAACATTTTTTGCACACATTCAGTGTGTGGCGAAAGCTCCTTCGCCGGATACTTACAAATATTGTTGGCCTGGAGAAAGGGTAGTAGAGTAAAATCCGCAATGAACTCACCGCAGCATCCTCGAGTGGTGACTCGCACCACTCCCACGGTGTACGGCTGCAGCAAGTCCACCGACCACCAGGGCGACGTCTCTTTCTGGGTCTCGGTGCAGCGCTGGCCTTCGTGAACAGTCGTGAACTCGCCGTCGTTGCCATTCCCTGCGGCTCCCCCGCGAACGCTCGTGCTCTGGTTTGCGGGTTTGCGGAAAGCGATATTCGTTCCTGCGCAGACACACAAATCATCAGGACATGCCTACCTTCCTTACGTTTCCTTCACGTTTTTCTGGTACTATATGTACAACATGCGTTGTTGTCGTAGCACAGACAACCAAAACGCACGATGTTTATGTGTTTTTTTAAAATCATTTCTTCAATATGCAGGTTAGTGTATATTGTTTTAGCACTGCTAGCGATAGTTCTTTTACAGCAAATTCTAGTTCGAGCAACTATACTTTAAGGCAAAAGAGGTCATGATAAGCAACGTGACGAGGTATGAAAGTCCTCCCTTACACACCGTCAGAGTTTTTTCTAACACTAAATTAATCGAAGTATTTAAGTCCCAGTTATTGGACACTTTATTTAAACATTATACTACTTCATGATCATCATTACTACTCGATAAATCTTTCAAAAAATTGTGTACAATCGTTTACAAAAATAATTATTAAATTATTAAATATAATTTATAAATTGTAACTGAACCCAGTAACTCTAACCAGTAAAATGAGTAGCATCAGAGTTGCCAATATAATATTGACTGCTACTCATTTTACTGGTAAATTATAATATACAGGTTGGACAGGGTACATACCACCTAAGTTGGCCACAGCAAATATCTTGAAAACAGTTTGATGTATCGATATGCTATTCGCGCCATGTTGTTGCAGATGATGGCGCAAATAATATTTTTCGTTTTCGTGTTGGTACCGTATGTAATTTTAGAGATAGACTAATCCTTGATGGGTGGAATAAATAAGTGTTAACACCCCTTGTATCTCCTCAACACTCTCACTATAACACCCCATGTTTGTCTGAACGACGTAGTCACGAAGTTCCCCATTTAGTTAGCAGGAAAGATCGAATGGAAAATCGCAGCTTCAGTGGAAAAATACGTAACAAAAACACATCGATTTCTAAAAACGATTCGCTTAGATACGAAGATGTACACATATTTGAAATCGTATTTTTAAGCCCATTACGATACGCTAAAGTGTAACATAGGGTTCCATTAAAAAAAGTTGACATTATATCATCACAGAAATAAATAGTGCAAAACGAAGTATGCTGTAATCAAGTATCCCATGTTTATGCAATTGATTGTCCAAACGGAATCTTCGTATCTTGCACGATAGAAGGGAGTTATTATTTAATTGTTCCACCTATACATATCACAGTGCCCGTTGAAGAACTCTCGCATGTTAAATTCCACCCTCTTCTCTATCCTTTCATTTCCATATTAATAGGGAAAGTTGTTAACAAAAGTATTTATTTGTTTAAAAAATGTATGAAGGTAACTTCCAATGTAGGTACTTATAGAATATAAAAAAAGTAAAAAAACAATGAAATTGATGTTTGATATAAATTTTGAAGGATTATTCAGTTATATTGACCGATTTTCTTGGAATAATTCACAGCAATTCCATAAAAATAACACTTGAAGTAATTAGACAACTTTGTTTGACAACTTTTCGCTTTCCTTCATTGTCGCCAAAAACTTGAAAAGCTTTTTACTCTTAAAAAAGCTACGTAAGTGGTCCATGCGAAAATACAGGATCGGGCAAGTATAACCCTTCTCTTTGGAATATTATTTAACTTTCTTACTGAACTGAGAAGTACACTCATGAGATTCAATCGCCTCGAATATCAGTAAGTAATTTAATTTCACTTACAGTTGCAGATTCTGCACGTTCCTGAACACGTGGGGTAGTATCGAGAAGCGTCAGACCAGCAAAATATAATTAATGTCCAAGAATCTTTCGTACAACAGATTACGGAGTGAGCCACTAGTCTTTGAGACCTCCGGCCTCAAAATCCCAGATTTTAAGACCCTAGATCGCTTTGTTTAGGAGTTATTTAACTCCATGCATTTTAATAATGCTACTCTTCTGTTGCAGATTGCATTTGCCTCAATATTTAGATGCGCATTTATCAACAAATCCTTCATATGTTAAAGTTAAAGTAAAATTCGTCGTGTCTCAGTGAAATTCTCTTTTTTTAGAGACCTCATATATAAAAATGAGTTGCTTGTGAGAACCGCAGAAATCATCTATACTACTGAAATAATACTATTGAGGTGAATTTATACAATATGAACAATAAAAAATGAAGTAGCAGCAACTGCACTATCGATGTTGTGCCAACTATATTTCCATTTTTGTTGTCTAAGAAGGATTTGATATAAATCCCATCTAACATGAATGAAACAAGAATGAATCTGGTTCTTGCAATGTTTTGAATTTCTCCTTAGCACACTTCCAAATATTATCATCTCCTTGCTCTTATTGTTCGTAGTTGTGGAGAGACAACATATCTCGATTTCCTCAAAACATTGTAAGCTTGAGGTGTAATAAAAAACAAAATACTGCAGAAAGTAGACAAACCAGCACTGTATCTGTAACACTGTTGATCAATAATTAATAAATAGATCTGATTAATATTAAATTTAACTTGCTTGCACGTACCATCTAGATCTTTTACTAACCTACTCAAAATATAATTTACAGCACTAACTATACTACGAGAATAGTCCTAGTTTTCTTGCAAATGCTCCAAGTTTTCCAAGATATAAATACAGTTCATGAAATTACTAATCACTTTAGGGAAAGTATTATTTCCCAGCCTTCTCAATGCAATATCATGACTGATCACTCTTGCTTGAAAATTTCACTGGCACAGGTAAAAAAGATACTGGCAAAGGTAAAACAGAAACCAATCCGAACAAGATACAGTCTTCACTCTTCATGCAGAACATCAAAAGATGAAACAGCTCTCTTTCCATCACAGTTTGATTTAGTTCCTGGGCTCTCTAATATTGCCCTTCGCAAATTTTCTTGAGCCTTCTGCCTTTTCTTTTGGATTCACTCGTCAAACGTCCTGGCAGTTTCGTGTAGATGGCTCTTTTCTTGAGTCTCGGTCGTCCCATACTACACTGTAGCTCCTTTCGTGACATTCCTTCATAGCATAAGAACTTGTAGCGAAATTCACTTTTATCAAAATTAAGTGCACCCATGTTCAAAGAAATAAGAGATGTAGGATAAACAAGGTATAACAATTATTTATCTTAAATGACTTAATGAAATGATATCATAGTTCCTTTTTCAATTGGATAAACAGCTCTTGCAGAGGTTACGTGATACGGTTGCACTACACGCATAAAAATAATCTTCATCGGTTTCAAACAACTACGAGTATTAATACTTCTAGCTTCTACTGCGGCGAATCTTGAATTAATGACTATACAAACAAACCTCGTCAATCTGCGCAATCCTTGGTTCCTTCTAGGAGTGGGAGCATAAGACCCTCATCAGACATGATATTCCATAGCACAGGATCCAGCACCGAACCTTGTGGGTCGCCTGCGGTGATGTTGCATACCTTCGGTTCATCATCCGTATTATGCACAACAAATCGTCGATTCAGATATTCAACCACTATTTTTCTTGGGTACGTAGGTACATTGAATTGATGGAGTGCCTTGTGAATGTCACTCCGTCATGCCGAGTTAAAAGCATTCTTGATTCTCCAATGCTACGATTGAACTTTTCTTTTACTTCTCCATCTAATGGCCTGACGGGCAGTGGCAATGACAAGCTTAACGGCATCGATTGCTGAACGAGCCTCGCGAAACCCTTACGGGTTCTCTGTGAGTCCACCTCCTTTATCTACTGCATCTCCCAACCTTGCGCTAATGATATGGTCGAAAACCTTGCCCGCGATATCGAGCATGCACGGCGGCCGGTATGTCGCCAGCTCTTCGGGAGGTTTTTTCCGCTTTTGGAAAAACTACGAGTTGTTGTTCGTTTCATCTCTCAGGAAATATCCCTTCTCTCAGACATTTGTCGTACATGGTCCAGGAATACTTGACTACGAGCGGATATCGCGGTTTTGAGGGCGATGTGACCTCGAGCCTTGGTATTACCAATTCTGCTGATTACGCGCAGATAATCCGTAGTGGCTGGTGGTGTCATTTCCGTATCAAGTGGTATAATGTTCGTCGGTTCGTTGGGGTAGTAGGGGAATAAAGTTGTCACAATTCTCCGAAGAATATTAGGGCAGGTTGGAGACTGGGTAAGCGACTTTATAAACTTAGCCATGACCGTCTTGAATTGTCTACCCCACACATCTTTATCAACTTCTTCGCACAGACTTTTAGACCAAAGACGTTTACTTTCCCGGATTGCAGTCTTCAACTGGTTTCTGGCCAGTTTATATTGTTCCTGCAATGAACAAAGTCGTTGCCACAAGTTCGCTGATACAGTCTTCTGGCCCGAAGGCAGAGACGGTGCTGCTGAGCATTGTCTTCATTCCACCATTAAACTGGGAAATGTCGGTGGTTGATTCCTCTTCCGGGTAGAGATGCATCACAAGCTTTGGTTATCCAGTTCATAATTTGGTTAATCTTTGTCTCCACCGTCCTTGGTGGCACGTAATTCTCCCAACAAAGGCGGAGTACTTCCTCGAACACTTTGGTCTTATTTCCTGGTCCAACGTAACCCTTTCTTTGATATTGTACCTCGAATACAATACCCTGATGGTCATCTGTGTGTAGTGACTTTGCATGATACTTCCATTCTCAACAAGCAACCTATCATAAACGTTATGTCTACCACTGATCCTATACACCACCTCTGCGGAAGTTGTGTGTTTCTCCGGTGTTAACGAGCTCTCCGTTCAAGAGAGAGAATGACTCTAGCACAGCTCGACCTCTTTTGTTCGTTGCCGATCTAACCCACTCCACAGTCCACGCGTGTAAGCCCGCAGCTAACAGGGGGCTGCGTCCATTGGCATTAAAACTAGACGGTCAAGGAATTGCCCAAACTCATCAAAAGTAGCGTTTGGTGACGCGTAACAACCATAAATATAGTGTAGCGTCACGGCTTGGCAGCAGCCGAGTGCAAGGTAGAGGGCTTGGGGATCTAAAGATAGAACAAAGAAGGGACCTTCCGACAGGAAATGGCCAGGCAGCGCCAGGGAAAGGCTTTCCACCGCGCGGGGGTGGGGAG